ACGTACCTCGTGACGTCATGAAGGACGTCGGGCCAGTGAAAACGCTGGCGGAGGCGTGCTAATGTGCGGTTCACGCCAAGGTGTGCCGAAAGTCGTACGTCGTGGAATTCGTCGAGAAGACGAGTCCGTAAGATGCGATCTTGGGGCACAACTAACAAGTCCTTTCCTCTCGTGTGAAGGAGGGGGAACCCGTCGAAAATCCGATAGTGGCTAGCCGGCGGGTGATCCGATGACAACTCGGCGTAAAGCGTAGAGTAAGTCAGATCGGACTTGTAGCCTTTGACGAAATGCGGCTGAAAATCGTCATCGAGGTCGAATGTCGTGGTCACAATGGCACAAAAGTCGGGCCGTCGTGAGAGGGCGTCCGCAGCTCGATTGGAGGGACCGGGAATGTGGCACGGGTCAAAGTCGAACTGGTCGATGTAATATATCCATCGACCGATCGTGCTAGTGACCGTGTCTTGCGTTTTGTTAAAGGTCAATGGATTGTTGTCCATATTCCATTTAAAACGCCGACGGCCGAGAAGAAAGTGGCGCCACCGTTTGAGAACGGTAACGAATGTGAGTAGCTCTTTCTTCCTAGCATCGTCGAGAGTGTTGACGAGAGGCACCTTTTCGGAGAAATACTCGAGCGGATGCCAACTGTCCTCGTGACACTGTTCCAACACCGCACCAATGCCGTATCCTGAAGCGTCCGTAGTCACTTGGGTGGGAAGGGTGGGGTCATATATACGGAGGGCTGGTGCGGCTTGCATCGCTGCCTTCAACGTAGTGAACGTGCCACGGGCTGCGTCGTCGAACTCGAAGGGCACCTTCGGGGACTGAAGTCTCGACAAAGGGGCGCCTACTTTCGAGTATGACTCGACGAATCGCTGATAATATCCAGCCAATCCCATGAAAGAGCGTACGTCCGTCATGCAACGCGGTTCCGGCTAATCCACGATGGCTTGGATCTTGTCCGCTAAGGGACGAATGCCTTTCGGCGTCACAAAATGTCCCAAGTACTCAAGCTCTTGCTTGGCGAACTCGCACTTGTCGCGGCTAGCTTTGTACTTGGCCAATCGCAAACGATTCAAAACAGTGCGAAGGTGTGTGATATACTCGTCCAACATCCTGCTATAGACCAAGATGTCATCGAGGTAGATGAGGATGTAGCGATCGAGCAAGTCGCAAAACTCAGTCGTCATAGCTGCTTGAAAAGTTGTGGGGGCATTGGTGAGGCCAAAGGGCATGACAACCCACTCAAAATGCCCGTACCGCGTCTTGAACGCGGTCTTGTACCGATCTTGAGGCTGGATTTCAATCTGGTGGTAACCTGACTTCAAGTCCAACTTCGAGAAGTACGTCGCATCACCTAACCGCTCAAGGAGATCATCAATCCGAGGGAGAGGGCCGGCGTTCTTTACGGTCTGTGCGTTAAGTTTGCGACAGTCGATGCATAGTCCTAGATCTTTGTTCTTCTTTCGGACGAAGAGAACAGGTGCACCGTATGGCGAGCAACTAGGGTGAATCCAGCCTTGGTCGAGGAGGTCATCGAGTTGTGCGCGAAGCACCTCGAGCTCCTCTTCGCTCATGCGGTAGATACATCCACGCGGAGGGAYGGCGTCCGCCTCGAGAGTGATCCCGTGACATATGGGCCGATTCGGAACCGTTCCGGTGGGAGCCTCAAAGACGTCTCCATACTCATCCAAGAGGTGAGTGATGCGTGGGTCCGGCGGGGACACGGCTGGTCCGTCCGGCGAGGGGAGAGCATGCAAAAATACAACGTCCATCTCCTCGACGTCATTCCGAGCTATGGCGTCGCGAATTCTCGCAACGGAAACCACGTGACAAGCAATCGAAGTGTGAGGGGTTGCGACCGTACATGGGACTAACACTCCGTTCCGATCACGGATGTGAATGGTTCGGTCATGGAAGTTCACCGGATGATCGGCGCTACGCAACCAAGACATGCCTAGAATCATGTCGAACTTGGTGTCGAGGATGTCAAAAGACATCGGTTCGCACGCAAGTGGCGCAAAGTATACCGGAACGCCGTCGACGCATCGATCAATTGACTTTTGCGTGCGGCCGTCCGCGAGTGTAACTTGCATGGGTTGCGTCTTCCTTTGAACGCATGGCCCAAGACATGTGTGGGCCATAAAGGCTTGACTCATAAAGTTGCGAGACGCTCCGCAATCAATCAAGGCACTACAGATTGCCTTTCTGATTTGAATGCGGATATAGAGCAAAGGCGTGTCAGTTTCGGCGTACCTTTGGGTGGCGTACTCGCGGTCAATCTTCGCAAGATAGGAGCAGGGATCGACAACCGCTACCCCGTCGTCCGTCAACGGAGCTGGTACTGTAGTGTGCAAATAGGCGCGTAGATTTGCCATTAAGGCATTGCAATGCAGCCTTGGCAAAGTTCTGGTTGAGGATAGAGGCATCCAAGCGAAGTCCTCTTTCGTGAGCGGGTCAAGCTCCTCAAGTCTTGACCACGCCGTCGAGTCCTCGGAAATCAGTGGCGAACTCACCGGATCATTTGCCGACGGTGTACAGGCTGCGCATACGCCATCTAAGTGCATGTGGCTCGGCTGGTCTAGTGGTGGTACCAGCTGGGCGGCATAATCCTCGTACGTAGCACGAGAATCAGCGACTAATGCATGCTCCCCGGTAGTGACATCGATTGCTAGCAAAGCAACCGGGTCCGGCGGAGTGAGGAGAGGCGTCACCCCTCTCCTTGCGTAACTCAGTTTCCCGAGTTTGCTGGACGGGGTACGCGTGCCTTGCCCTTTTCGGGGCATTGTGCGGTCAAATGAGTGACGCCGTTGCACCAAAGGTAGTATCCGTACTTTTGACGAAGGTCATAGACCTCCTTGGTTATCTTGTAAGCCCTCCATGGTTGCGGCCCAGTTCCCGTCGATGCCGTCTCTTGTGTCGCCTTGTTCTTCCGAACTCTCTTGGGACGCTTCGGCTAGAGAGCTGCTACAATTCCTCCATCACTCAAGGATGTTGCTGCAGCGTGGAGATCGACTGTTTCTTCAGAAATCACGGCATTGTTATGTGCCGGTCGTTGATAGTCATGCTTAGCCACATAATGCGGCTGGGACTGTCGTTCGTTTGCGGCCTTGTCATCCGTTTGGATGACTAAGTTCGCCCGATCGAGAATGGCCTGGAATGAATCATAATCGTACTCGTTGCCAAGTGTCGATCGCAGTCCTGCGCACGATCGCGAGAAGAACTCGGATCGTTGATTGGTAAAACTCAAATCGAAGCCTGGCGTGGTCACTATCTTCTGCCTCTTAGTTGTCCAGTCTCGAGTTGGCATACTACCTTGAGAGCAGGTGTACACCTCGTTCATGGCTGCCTTTACGACATTGCGAACCATGAACCGGGTGAGCCGTAGCTTCTCGAACTCCTTCCACGGAATGTGCGTGTGGAGTTCGGCGATGGTGCATTTCTTTGTAGCCGCCAGATGATTCATCCATGCCTCCGCTCCTCCAATCAGTTGTAAGTACAGTGTCTTCATCATGTCATCGGCTGGGACAGTGTGGCATGATGCTTCCGTGAGGAAGCTTTGCCACCATGTCAAGGCGTCTGACTTGTTGTAGTAGTCGAACTTGCTGATGTCGAAGTGCGGCATCTTGTAATTCTTCGTGGCGTCGTCCGGTCTCGTCTGCAGCTTGGTGATGTCCGTCTTGATGGTGGCCACCGTGCTACAGATCGTGTCCGGTCCATTGAAAACACCTATGTCGCCGATGAGTTTGACGACGTGATCGATGCGCCCATTGAGCTGCTTTGTCTCGTCTATCGTGCAGCTTGGCGCTGCTGAGGCGTTAGTCTCAATGGTGTTGATGCGCGCGAGAGCGGAGTTCAACTGCTGATGCAGTTGCTGTTGCTGTGTTGCTTCGGCGCGGATGGCAGTTGTTAAAACAGCAATGTCTTGCTGGTACTTTTGTCTTTGCAGTCGTTCCGTGCGCAGATGTGCCTGCAGCAGTGTGTTATTCCACATGATTCCTCTCATCATGTCCGGCATCAAGTTGGCCAGGTGGGTCTTCTGTGCCTCTGCCGGTGTCGGATCTGCCTGCGGGTCCGAAGGCACAAAGATCATGCCTTGGAGGAACGTTGTCCACTGCCTCTCACTATGAATCAAGGACTCCGTGCTGGCAGCATTCCGGTGGTCTCGTACCGCTGCGTTAGCCTCAACAGTCTGTTGAGCGTGGGCTGCCGCTTCATTGGCCAGCCGCTGGCGTTCTGTCTCTGCTGCCTCTTGTTGAGCCTTGACGGCAGCTACGGTATCAGTGAATACCTGTACCCGTTGAAAGTAAGTTGCCACTGGCTCATTGGCCCCTTGGACTGGGCATGCGGGAAGAACCCCGGGGGTAGTCGGTACCGTCAATGTTGTACTCGATGCCGCTGGAGTCTTCCGTTTGCTGAGTCGCTGTTGCTGAGCCTTCGTTTTTGGAGGTACCACAGGGCGGGTACGAACTGCAAGCCTGGCACTGCGTCGTGGCAGTGCCCCGGTGTCCTGTTCCATCGACATCAGTGGGGACTGATGCGGTACTTGAGAGGTCCAGGTGGTCACAGATTACGGGGAGGGTAGAGAGAGTCGAAACAGGGGTAGAACAATCATACAATACACATACAGTCCCCTGTCCCACTGATGGACTGTAGACACCTAATCAAAACAGAAAAATAAATTCCCGTAAACAATTCAAAAATTCGTAATAAGAATTTAAAATTAACGAATTATTTAATCAATAAAACTTAATTAATGATAAATAACGAAATAATAACTCTTAATGATCATCAATAAACAATGTTTTGTAATAAAGATAATCAGTACTCAATATTTGCAATGAAGATAATCAATAAACAATTTTTGCAATAATGATAATAAACGAATTTGAATTTTATCAATATTAGGTATCTATTGAGATCATCTTTAGTCCGGGAGTTCACCGTTAATGAGTGAACTACCCGGAAGTTGCAACTTGAGGGTCAGATTCGGATTGGTATGCCAAAAACAAATTTCGGAAAAAGTCAGGGAAAAACACTCGAATTTTCAAAAACATGAATTTTTAGGAATTTCCACCGTCAAAATCCGATTTTTAACGGCCTAAACCCGTTTTCGGAATTTCTCAAAACAAAGGAAGGAAAAAAAAAATTTGCGAAAATTTCGGGCCCAACCCTAATTTTCCGTGTTTTGGCGGAATTTCCGGATTTACGATTTCCCAAGTTGCGTGAAAAACCAAAATTTTCGTAACCCTAATTTCCACTACTGCAATAAAACGGAAATGCTGAATTAGAAACGAAATACAGGATTAAAATCAGAAAGCCGAATTTAAACAGAATACTGATTAAACCCTAATTACGAATTCCTACTCAGAAATCCGAATTAACAGAATGTTGGATTAGTATCAATTCTCGGATCCCAATAAATAACCTACCGAAATAAAAAACGGAAATCCGAATGATAATTCCGAATTCCGAATTGAAACGGAAATGCCGAAATCACAAAATACCGAAAAAAATTTGCAACTTTGAACTCAATAGTAATACAGAGCTGATTCGGAAGATTAAAGAACAATCTAATTCCTAATCAGACTTACCTTTGTGAGCAGATCCGTTATATGGTCTGCTCCGATACCAAAACTGTTACATACTTCAATGAGTATGGGCAGAACCAAAGATCAACCAATGTAGGATGAGCATATATGCAGCGGAAGTCTGAGAAATGGACTGACTCACATGGACTGACTCACATAGAGATCACTCCACACACATACAATCGTGAGATGGTGGGGTCTGGACCAAGCATAGACGATGTCCAGACCTCGTACACACATACACAAATGAGAGGTGGGAGGAGAGACGAAGGAGGAGGGGAGATGTAGGCAGCACCAAGTGTCACCGAGATAGAAACCAGTAGGTCACCGATATGGTATCCAAAATGTCATCGAACCAGATCAAAATGTCGAAGACAATAAGTCACCAATGTCGGAGATACAGAGTCCTAATGTAACCGGTGTCCAATCTGTGCTGCAGCCGAGTATCATTCCCGACAATCTCCAAGTCTCGAACTCGGTAAGTACCACAGCCCCTTACCACTGAAGTCCAACTCTGATCTCTGTCCAACTAGTATAAGTCTCCAATCTGAAGAAGAAGAAGAAGGAGAAGAAGAAGATGGAGTCTGAAGAGAAGAAGAGGAAGAAGAAGAAGAAGAAGAAGAAGAAGAAGAAGAAGAAGAAGAAGAAGAAGAAGAAGAATGGAGCCGCTGAGGAGAGAGAGAGAGGGGACTGACGAGGGGAGGGAGGAGAGACCTCCAACTCCCGATACCTCAGGCGGCTATGGCCGCCAGTGCTCTCAGT